CCGGGGAAGGTGGCAGGCGATGTTTATCTCAGTTATGTTTTCCGGGGCTGGAGAGCATTTGTGTTATCATCCACCAGATGGGCCTGGTGAAGAGCTGGTGGAGACAACTGTATTTCCTCACGCGGGCTCGTTGCCTGCCGGGAAAGGAGCCAGCCAGGCTTTGCAGGGAGAAGAACAGAGCTTGGACAGGCTGCAGCTGGGTTTCTCCTTCAGCCAGTTCATTTTTGCGAGGTGTGGGACAGAGGCAGGGGTTCTACGGTGTAAGGATGGACCAAGGGCCAGCCTACAGCCAGGCCCTTCCAGTCTTGTGCCTCTGTAGTCTTCAGACCCTCAAATTAAGTCTGGGGGTTCAGGAAGGGACTTGAATTGTCCATCAGTCCCAGGCAGGAGTCTGGTGGGAGCAGGTTGCAGCCTGGTGTGGCTGCCAGTTGTCAAGGCTTGTTGGGGACAGCTGAAGATGCCTGTCCCACGTCCTCTCCCATTTCTGTGTGTCTCCCACTGGCTCGCAGGGAAGGCTGTGTGGCCACTGGGCACCACAACACGGTGTAACCGTGGGGAGAAGCAGGCAGGGACATCTTCTCCAGAGCTTGCCACGCTGGTGGCCCGGCCACTGCAAGGTGTTCTGTCATTCGTTTTAGTGGCCAGCCCAGCCCAAACCACCGCACAAGGGGAGCTACAGACCTTTGAGGGAAGAGCTGATGGTCTTTCTGGTTTTCCTGAGAGCTGCCAGTGGAGAAAGTCAAGCAGACGGAAATGTCAGCAGTGGGCAGGATGGTGTCCCTGGAATGGACAGTGTTGGGAGCCACCTCCTGTAGGGTGGAAGAGAGGAGGGGGTCAGGAGGAGGCCAGGGTGGCTGGGGAGTGATCACAGCTAGGGGCAAATGGTGGCAGGACAGAGCCCTACAGTGTCCTACGTTCTGCCTGGAGCTTGGATCTCCTGCCTGGCCAAGTGAAACCCTGCTGCCTTCCCCGAGCCCGCAGCCTCGTTGCTGCTACCGCATCGAGAAGGTCTGGTGATGCACCTCAGCCCACCGTCCCCTCGTGTGCTTCTCTCTTTTAGGTTCTACTGGTTTTTCCCTTCTCTGTACTGGTGTGGGAAGGGACATGGTGACTTCTTCCCACGGGCCTGTGGCTGCGTGGCCAGAAGCCGTTGCCGCTGGGTAGGACGGTGGGTGGCAGAGCCATGTGTGCGGCAGGAAGGTTGGTGGCTGGAGGGTCCTGCTCTGTGAGAAGCTGGACACGAGCAGGCAGTGGGCACTTGCAGCCCAGAAGGCCAATCCCATCCTGGGCTGCATCAAAAGAAGCGTTGCCAGCAGGTCCAGAGAGGGGATTCTGCCACTTTACTCTGCTCTGGTGAGACCTCACCTGGAGTGTTGTGTGCAGGTCTGGAGCCCTCAATATAAGAAGGACGTGGACCTGATGGAGCGGGTCCAGAGGAGGGCCACAAGGATGATCAGGGGGATGGAGCACCTCTGCTACGAGGACAGGCTGAGGGAGCTGGGGTTGTTCAGCCTGGAGAAGAGGAGGCTCTGGGGAGACCTAATAGCAGCCTTCCAGTACCTGAAGGGGCCTACAGGAAGGCTGGGGAGAGCCTGTTTAGAAAGGCCTGCAGTGACAGGACGAGGGGCAATGGCTTCAAGCTGGAGGGGAACAGATTTAGACTGGAGATGAGGAGAGGGTTCTTCACTGTGAGGGTGGTGGAGCACTGGGACAGGTTGCCCAGGGAGGTGGTTGAGGCCCCATCCCTGGAGATATTCAAGGAGAGGCTCGACGAGGCCCTGGGCATCCTGGTCTAGTTGGGGGTGTCCCTGCTGACTGCGGGGAGGGGGGACTAGATGGCCTTTGGAGGTCCCTTCCGGCCTGGGCAATTCTATGATTCAATGATTCTATGATTCTATAAACAGCACAGAAGGGGTGTTTAGGGCTGGATTTTTTTGGAGCCAGCCCTCTCCAGCACGGCGTAACGGTGGGATGCTGCAGGAGGAGGGATGTGGGTGGCGCGGGTTGCTGACAGCCTTTTGCTGATGCCTGTGGTTTGATGAACCTCATCCGGGAAGACGAATGGATGTGACAGGATCGCGGTGCCCTTCACGGCCCCGTTCCCTTCCCTTGCTCTCTCTGGGGAACGGGCTCCCGTTCAGGGGGCTGTGGGCACGGTGCTGCCGCGGGGGAGAGGACTGTACAGGGGCTCCCAGCTGCAGGACTTGAGGCAGAAAAATCAATGTTTATATTTCTCTTAGCTGGGAAAGATTCCTTAAATAACTCCAGTAAATAAATACCTTGTAAAGTTCAAACTGTGAAGGCACGGTGTATGAACCAGAATGAATTTTCAAGCTCTCTCTCGCAATAAAATGGATTTCTTGGGTTGGGGCTTTATTTAGAGAAACGTTTGATTTAAGGAGAGAGTTGAAGGTTGTGTCTGATCTCCTTGTGAGGGGGGGAGGTGCTTTTCTGATGGCTGTGGGACACGGGCTGGAAATGTGGCTGGAGTATGCCCAGGAGAGTTCCTTGCATACCCGGCCAAAAGAAGGGTCACTCTCCTTGTCCCCAGGGTGGTTCTTCCCGTGTCCTCTGTCCCCTCTGGACCCCGCTGCTGCAATGCAGTCTGCTCAGCTGCCCTGCGAAGCTGGTGGTGCAGGTGCTGCTGCTCCGGGATGCTGGAGACCAGCCAGAGCCCAGTTCCCTCACGGATTTCTGCGCCTGAAACGACTTGTCTCCCGTCTTCCTTCCAGCCTGGTTATAGAATCATAGAATCATCTAGATTGGAAGGGACCTTAAAGATCATCTAGTCCAACCATCAACCTAACTCTGACCAAAAAAATAAATAAGAAATAAGCAATAAAAAAATCACTAAACCATATTCCTGAGGACCATGTCTACCCGTCTTTTGAACACCTCCAGGGATGGTGCCCCAACCCCTTCCCTGGGCAGCCCATTCCAGTATGGTTGAAACTGGTCCTCGAAAGGTCCACTAAAGAGGGAGCCAGTGATGAGCCCGTTTGGGGTGCAGCCCCTGTGGTCCAGGCTGCTGGTTCCTGGGTTTGGGAAATAAAAGACATTGGGGTGCTTGAGCAGGTCCAGAGAAGGGCAATGGAGCTGGTGAGGGGTCTGGAGAGTAAGTCTTATGAGGAGAGGCTGAGGGAGCTGGGGGTGTTCAGCCTGGAGAAGAGGAGGCTGAGGGGAGACCTTCTCACGCTCTATAACTACCTGAAGGGGGGTGTAGAGAAGCGGGGGTCGGTCTCGTCTCCCAAGCCACAGGAGACAGGACAAAGGGAAATGGCCTCAAGTTGCACCAGGGGAGGTTTAGATTGGATATTAGGAACCATTTCTTCACGGAAAGGGTTATCCAGCATTGGAATGGGCTGCCCAGGGAAGGGGTTGAAGCACCATCCTTGGAGGGGTTCAAAAAACGGGTCGACAGGGTCCTCAGGAATATGGTTTAGTGATTTTTTTATTGCTTATTTCTTATTTATTTTTTTGGTCAGAGTTAGGTTGATGGTTGGACTAGATGATCTTTAAGGTCCCTTCCAACCTAGACGATTCTATGATTCTATGGCCTGAATTTGCTCTTCTCAGGAAGAGCTGAGAGCATGGGGTGGACTCATGGGCATGGGGTGGACCTTCTCCTCAGGGTTTGTCCCTGCCCGGTGTCTCAGGGGAGCGGGGCAGGGTGGAAGGGGTTGGAACAGGACCTCTCAGCTGGCCTGGAGCTTGGGTTCAAGGTTGGGACTTTAGAGTTGGCTGCGTTATCTGGGAGCTGAAGTGCATGGAGGGAGGGCTCTGAGCTGCACGTTGACCTAAAGGAGAACTGGTTTGTCGTTGTGTGAGGGAGGAGGAAGCAGAAAGCTCTGTTTCAGCCCCACCTTTGCTCGAAGCTCTGGGAAATCACCCCGAGCAGGGGACAAAGGGCACCGTGCAGGGCTGGGATTCCTTCTGTCGTTGGTCAGCGTGAGTGCAAGCGTGGCATTGCCTTCCTGAAAGCACCAGGAGAGCCACGGCCAGGGAGAGCTGCTCCCTGCAAGCCCAGGGGCTGCCCTGGCCTGTGGAGGTGGCACCGCTGCTGAGCTTCGCTTTTGGAAAATTGCCTAGAAAAGGTCTTTTCAACTTTCTGCCCTGGCACAGGGTGGCTCTGGCGTGTGTCGGACCCGTTCTCCCATCAGGGTTTCAGGCGTTCCCAGGCAACGCTGGAGGTTGACACCAAGGGCTGGTGGTGACAGCAGGGCTCTGTGGCATCTCCGCTCCCCAGGTAAGCGGGGCAGAAGCTGGAGCTGGGACACGGTGCCCTCCAAAGCCTGCTGGTGAGAAACGTGTCTCTGCCGGAGGTTGGAGAGATCAGACCCCACCGGTTGAGCTCAGAACCCTCTGGTGAGCTCAGAACCTGCTGGTGATCTGTCCCGGCACTGGTTTGCCACAACCTGCCTCAGCTCTGGCACAGAGCTGCTGCCCACAGCCTGGCCAGGCTTCTGGCCCCAAAGCCACCACCAGACACCACAACATGCTTTTCTTTGCTCAGTGGTGTCTGGTGTGGGATAACAAGAGTTATCCCAGTATGCATAACTGGTGTGCCCGCGGTGGTGAGCCAAAAGGAGAGAGACAGGAACAGAAAGTCAGAGGTGGGCTGGAGTGCCACCAAAGGAGGAAAGAACTGTCCCTGGGAACAGCAAGAAGGCAGAGCAGGGTGTCGCCTCCTCCAGAGAGTTACAAACGAGCTGCAGATGTACCAAATGGTGGAGGTTGGGCACAGAAGCGATGTGCTTGCTCACCAGGGTCCACCCCTGCCACGAGCACGGGGTTGGTGGGGTTGCAGGGCTGTTCTTTGTGCCCTTCCTGAAGTGTTTTGGGTGGAAGCCAGTGCGTTGGAGAAACCAGTTGTCGGTGCCAGAGGAACAAGTGCCTGGAGAGCAATTACTGGATTGTTCTCTTCCTGGAAGCAAGGTACCAGCCCAGCATCCCCGGGTGGCCTTGGCCTTGGCCTCACGCTGTCTTCTGCTCTCTTCCAGCCACTCCCACTCTCCCGGCTCCATGGCTGCCGTCCGCGAGTGGTCCTGCACCCGCTGCACCTTTCTGAACCCCGTGGGCCAGCGGCAGTGCTCCATCTGCGAAGCCCCCCGCCAGAAGCCCGACCTCAACCACATCCTGCGGCTCAGCGTGGAGGAACAGAAATGGGCTTGTGCCCGCTGCACCTTCAGGAACTTTCTGGGCAAGGAGACCTGCGAGGTATGTGGCTTCACCCCGGAGCCGGGGCCCAGCGGCTCCCCCTTGCCCGTCATCAACGGCATCTTGCCCAAGCCCACCGTGCTTGTGGAGCCCAAGGGCACCTCCAAGGAGGAGGCTGCCAAGGCAGAAAGCAGCAGCGAGGACTCGGAGGGGAAAAGCCCCGAGGAAGCGGAGCTGGAGAGTGGCTGGGCTTGCCAGCGCTGCACGCTGCACAACACGCCGGTGGCCAACTCCTGCTCTGCCTGCGGTGGCCCACGCAAGCTCTCCCTGCCCAAGATCCCACCAGAGGCGCTGGTCGTCCCTGAAGTCATCACCCCTGCCGGATTTCACATGGCCCCCTCCACCCCGCAGCCTTTAGTCTCTGCAGAGATCTCTGACGGTGACGCCGTGGCCACCCAGGGCCCGGTGGCTATGGAACAGGAGGCCCAGAAGATACCAGCCTTCAGTCCCTTCTCCCCGGGGCTCCAGAACAACCCCGTGCCCCGGAGCCGGCGGGAGGTCCCCCCCCAGCTGCAGATGCCGGGCCCCGAAGCCTCCCAGCCGGCGGCTCCGAGCCCCGGGGGGCAGAAGGGCTCTCCGCAGGGCCAGGCCAGGGCTGCCCCCGCTGCCCGCTTCCAGGAGCTTCTGTCCAACAAGCGGCTGAGCGTGCTGGAGGAGGAGATGGAGGTCAGTCCGTCCCACTGGAAGTGCAGCTCCTGCTCCCTGCTGAACTCCGCCGGGGCCAGCAAATGCGAGGCTTGCAGCGCCCAGAAAGGCAGCGACACCATCAACCTGGTGGGGGACTCGGTGAGGTTCACCCCCTGCAGCCCCTCCAGCCCCGACTTCACCACCTGGTCCTGCTCCAAGTGCACCCTCAAGAACCCCACCCTGGCCCAGAAATGCAAAGCCTGCGGCTCCTCCAAGCTGCACGGCTTCCAGGAGCACGGGACGCAGGGCGAGCCGTCCCCCCGCTGCCCCGACTGCGGGGCCTGCGACAAGGGCGGCTGCTCCTCCTGCTCCAGCAAGGCCCCCTCCGCCCGCAAGGTCGCCCGTCTCTTCCCCTCCCAGTTGCCCAGCGGCCAGGAGAGGCCGGGCCAGTGGGCTTGTCCCGCTTGCACCTTGCTCAACGAGGTGAAGGCCAAGCACTGCGTGGCCTGCCATACCCCGCAGCAGTACGTGGCCCAGCGCAAGGGCCTCAAGCCCCTGAAGAGACGGGAGAGCATGCACGTGGAGAAGCGGCGGCAGACGGACGAGGGAGAGGCCAAAGCCCTGTGGGAGAACATCGTGACCTTCTGCCGGGAGGTGAGTGCTTGTTGAACCAGCCTTGCTCCTGGTTTCACTTGGAGGGGGTCCCCTTCCTGCCTCCCCCGTGGGTCTAGGGCATTGCTTGGCACAGGCGAAGCTGCCTGCTGGGTCTTGGGTGCCAGAGAAGAGAGAATCATAGAATGATCTGGGTTGGAAGGGACCTTTTAGATCATCGAGTCCAACCGTAACCCAACACTGACAAAACCCATCACTAACCCATGTTCCTCAGCACGTCTGCCTGGCTTTTAAATTCCTCCAGGGGTGGTGACTCCACCACTGCCCTGGGCAGCCTCTTCCGATATTTAATAACCCTTTCAGTGTAAAAAATTTTCCAAATATACATCCTAAACCTCCTCTGGTGCAACTTGAGGCCATCTCCTCTTGTCCTATTGCCTGTTCCTTGGGAGAAGAGACCAACACCCCTCCCCGTGCACCCTCCTTTCAGGGAGCTGTGGACAGCAATGGGGTCTCCCCTCAGCCTCCTTTTCTCCAGGCTGAACACCCCCAGCTCCCTCAGCAGCTCCTCACAAGACTTGTGCTCCAGACCTCTTACCAGCTTCATTTCCAGGTCTTCACCTGAAACAGCTGGATGCTAGTTATTAACACGGAAATGTAATATTTTAAATTGGTGGAATACACTCTTTGGGGTGAGGGTGACCCATCCAGTTCAGTCCTGGTGCAAGGGTGAGGAAGGCTGAGTGTTAACTCTGAAACCTAGTGATACCTTAAATCGGTGAGAGAGCACATCTGGGTTGAAGGGGACATTCTTAGGTGGTCAGTACCACCTCATTCCCTGCCTGAGGTGTGGGAGGTGCCTGGGAAAGAGTGTGTCCAAGTTTACTGGTGCCACCAGTGTCTGTGTGGGAGCAGGAGAGGTGGGGATGCAGCAGGCAGAGGACACTGCTGCCGCCGCCAGCACCTGCAGGTGCTCAAGAGCTGTGAGCTGGGCCTTGGCGATGTGGGGTTTGCTGTTTGTGAATGCACAACCCCAGCATGTGTCGCCCTGTTTTGGGAAGGAGAGCTGAGGTTTAGCTGTACCCTGGCTCCAGGTGAGGGTCTCGAGAGCACACGCTGTCACCTTTCCCTCCCACTGTGAATTATCTGGCTCAACCCGTTGGGTTTCAGGCTCAAACAAGACTGTGATGGCCTCATTTTTCTCCTGGAGTGGTGTTAAGATGCTGCTGTGAACACTGCTCTTTCTCTGCCCTCCTGCTGGGGGAAGCCTCCAGCTCTTCTGGACCAGATGGAAAGGGAGTTGCAGTCCCATTCTGACGTATGGACAAGGCTCTTTCTGCCTGGCCCGAGGAGTACGTCCGTGCTGGTGCCTCTGATGCACAGACTGGGGACCACAGAGGTGTTTGGCTCGGGAGGGAAGCTGTTGAGAATCATCCTGATTTGGGTCATGGGTTTTTTTATTTGCTACGTGTCCATCCTAACAGATGTGGGTGTCTTTATAGCAGAGAGACCCTGATTCTTCTTATCCCCCTCTTTTAAGCAAGTGAATAGCCTCTTTGTAGGCAGGGTACGTGTTCCATCCAGTGGAGTGAGGCCTGAAGGATGAATTATGAGAGATGGCCAAGTTGAATTAGCACCTTGCCAGGGCAATCTGCCTTGCCCCATCCAACCCAACTCTGCTCAGAGCCCTGGCTGAGCCCATTCAGCTCGCTACGCCATAGGCTGGTAGACCAGTGTGGGCCATCTCCTGAAAATCTCCCTAAAACTAAGTCTCTGCTACGTTCTGACAGTGGTTATGGTGAGCCAAGGGCTCTGTAGGTCCCAGGGAAGGACACTGGCCACAGTGGTGGGACGGGGCTGCTCCTGTACTCATGCTTGCTCTGCTCTTGGTGGGCCTGAAGCCTCCCACCAACGCTCCTGGTGGGGCTGGGTGTGAGGCAGCCCCAAAGCTTCCTTCTGGCCACAGGCTGCTCAGCCTTCTCCTGGAGGAGAGCATCAGCTTGGCCAACTTCTCCTCTGCCTGTTGTCCCCCATGTCCCATGGAGCAGCCGGCCTTACTGCGCTGACTTCTGCTCGAGCTCCTGCTGTGGGTGCTCCCTCCTCCACCGTTCCAGGGGTACCTTTTCCAACACTTTTCGGTGCGTGGTCCTCACTTTTAGCTTTACCTTTCTCTTTCATCTGGGAGGAGACCAGAGATGAGCTGCTTCTACACCAGACATCTTCTTCCCTGTCTTGTGCTGTCCCCTCTCTCCTTATCTCGCTGTCCCACCCTTCTCTCCTCGGATTAACCATCCTTCCCCCTTTCTGAATAACAACCTGCATAAACACATTCTGCAGGGCTAGAAGGACAACCCAGGACTCTTGCTGTCGGTGCCCTGCTCTGGCATCTCTGCCATGTGCCAGGAGAGGCCCCAGCTCTGTTTTCCTTCTTCTCCACCCATCAGACAGTTGGCTACTGGCAGCAAGGCTGTGCTGGGCAAGTAACAGCCTTCCTTGGCTGGTCCTGGGGAGATGGCAGCAGAACAGGTCATGTCCCTGCTCCGGAATGGCATGAAGAGGGACATTGGCAGAGCAGGAGGAGTGAAGGAGGTCTGGATTTACCCCCTTGCAGGAGAAGTAAGCACAGCTCCTCGTCTGTGAGCAGGCTCATCGCTGCCGTGGCTCCTGTCCCTCCTGCTCTGACCCTGCCCCTGGGGCTCTCCTGCCTCTTCTTCCCCTCCATCTCCAAGGACATCAGTAGCGACAACTTCTCTAAAGCACTTTGAGATATGGGAAGGGAGACATCACAGTATAAAGGTGATTAATTAGCTTGATAGGCTTTCCTGCCACTGCTGGGGGACTGTGCTGCTGTGGCTCTCACATTGCCACCGTCATCCTGCTGGTGAGGTCTGTGGCTGCTCTCCGGGCCCTGGGGAGACCCTGGCTGTGAGGCTGAAGGCTTCTTCCACCTCTGCTGCCTGGAAAAGCACCGCAGTGACTCCACAGGGGCCAGAAAGCTTGTGATGCCCACAGGCAGTGACCCCAGGACTGCTGCCCTGCTCCGTGACCATGTCGGGGGACCTGTGGAGCCCCGTGAGGTTCCTGTGGAGCCCCGTGAGGTTCCTGGGGAGCCCTGTGAGGTTCCTGGGGAGCCCCAGCTGCACCCCAAGAGGCTGGGATGGGGTGAGATGGGGTTGGTGGCCAATAGGGCAGAGAAAGCCAGCAAGCCCTGGGATGTGTCCTTTTTGGCCCACTCTGGTATTTGCGCAGTGACATCTATTAGGTGACAAACACCCTTCCAAGTGCTAATTGAGGCACCACAGTAGAAAGCATTCACGTAGGATTGCGACAAAGGAGGGAGGGAGGACAACTGCTCGTTTGGTGTGCATAAAAGCTAATTTAAATTAGAACTGGCTTTTGCTGAGAGAACTTTAATTTCATTTAATTAACAATGACAACAAAATCCCGGTTGTTATTTCACCCTGTGCTAAACTGTCTGAAAAAAGCTGCTCTTCTCCCCTCAGTGAAGTTCTGTTCTTCCATCCTGCCTCTGTGAGTAAAACCGATGGGATTATCTGCCCTTCGGTCCCTTCTATTTTATTTAATACCCCCCTGTCTATCGCAGGGGGGCTCGGGGGTGGGATAACCCTGGCTCAGGAATTTCTTACCTCTTTGTGGGATAACCCTGGCTCTGGAATTTCTTACCTCTTTGTGGTCTGGCCGAATCCAATTGGGAAACCTGCCCCTACCGTCCTTCCTGGCTGCACCTCGGGGGTGACAAGGGACTGCCAAACCCAGCGTGTCCCCTCCGGAGCACGGGGCTGGCCTTGAGGAGCATTTTCTTGCCAGGTGGCTCCTGGCAGGCTTGCTGCTCGCCGGCTTTGTCACTTGTAGAGGCAGCCAAGGTCCCCCATGGTCCAGCTTTTAGCACCAACATGAAGTGCGAAACGGTCCCTGCCCAGGGAGGTGCTGCTGTCCCAAAGCGGGGCCGTGTCCCCCCCGTGCAGACACCAATGTGCACACCGAGCAGAGATGTCCTCTATTTATAAATGCCATAAATAGATGGGTGCTGGGTGGTGACCCCCAAAGCCAGCCCCCCGCCTGGCCTAAAAACTCTCATGAGTATTTATACAGGTCAAAACACAGAAATACACAGCCTTAATTATAATTATTGATTAGTACCTTAACAATTTCTATTGGTTAGTACAGTCTCTCCCGTTTATTTAAAGTTACAAGGTCCTTTAATTGAAATGCAGGTGCTGGGGGGGGAGGGGAACAGTCCAATCCAGCCCCCAATTAAGTTGGTGGTCGTGATCTCCCACTGCCACCTCGTGCTGGGGGGGGAGGGGAGCAGTCCAATCCAGCCCCCAGTTGAGTTGGTGGTCGTGATCTCCCACTGCCACCTTTACCATTCCCCCAGTTACTGCAAACCCTGGTTGACTTCATGTCTGATCCAGCAGCTCTCTGGTTTTCATCCGCTTTCGGTGCCTCCTGTGGTGGGATGTTCCTTATTACCAGCCTCCTGTTCTTCTCCAGGGGTGTATTAATTAGTGAGACATTTATTGTTTATACCAAGTGTGCAGTATTACTCTTTCTTAATGAGAGATCCTACCTTCTAAAATACATTTTACCTTTCTAAAAGTACATTCTACCTTCTCAAAGTACCGTGAAACAGAAAAAGGCAGATTTTTGTGGTGGCCGGGAGAGCTGAGCTGGCTCATGGCAGGGCTGAATGCTGGACCTGACCCACTAAATATCACTGTGCTGTCACCAGCAGACACTGGCCCTGGGCCTGCTCCCCAGCACGGCGTCGGAAGGGCCAAATGGGAGTAACTGGGGGCTCCACTCTCACTCCTGGGGTGCAGAGGGATGTTTTCCTGGCCGGGATGCCCCGGGGAGCCCGGTGCCGCGCAGCTGCGCACTGATGCTCTCCTTGCCTTTCGCCCTCGCAGAACAAAGTCAATTTTGTAGATGACAGTTTCCACCCTGGGCCCAAATCCGTGGGATTCCCGGAAGGCGACAACGTGCAGCAGAGGGTGAAACAGTGGCTGCGACCCCACGAAATCAACTGTAGCATCTTCAAGGACCGATCAGTGAAGTGGTCCGTGTTTCGGACGCCCCGGCCCTCGGATATCCTGCAGGGACTGCTGGGGAACTGCTGGTAAGGGGGACTGAGCCAGCCTGACACCCCTTCCTTCTTTCCCCACCTTCATCCAGCTCCAGATCAGATCCCTCCACCCTCCTCAAACCCATTTACCCCACCACGTACCCCATCCTCTTCCTCACCCCTTCCCAAGCAGCTGTGGTCACTCCTTCCCAAGTGCCGCAAGGCTGGCCAGCTGCCTGCCCGTGTCCTGCTGAGATTGTCCCGTGTCCCCAACAGGTTCCTGAGCGCCCTGGCCGTGCTGGCCGAGCGGCCGGAGCTGGTGGAGAGGGTGATGATCACCAGGACGCTGTGCCCCGAGGGTGCCTACCAGGTGCGGCTCTGCAAGGATGGCACGTGGACCACGGTGCTGGTGGACGACATGCTGCCCTGCGATGAGTGCGGGTACCTCCTCTTCTCGCAGGTCAGCGGCTCTTCGGGGGGGATAAGAAGTGCCGGGAGGGGGTGGGCAACGCTTCAGGGGCAGGGAGATGCTCATCCCCAGCTCTCCCAGGAGAGAAGACTGATGGAAACCGGGTACAGGAGTGCCAGGAGGGGGTGGGCAGTGCTCCAGGAGCAGGGGGATGTTCATCCCCAGCTTTCTTCTCAGAGACCTCTACAACTTCTCAGTTGCCCTCTACAACTCCCTGAAAGGAGGGTGTAGAGAGGCAGGTGTTGGCCTCTTCTCCCAAAGGACGAATGACAAGACCAGAGGAAATGGTCTGAAGTTGGGGCAGGGGAGATTTAGATTAGATATTAGAAAGAACTACTTTACTGAGAGAGTGGTCAGGCCCTGGAACAGCCTGCCCAGGGAGGTGGTGGAGTCACCATCCCTGGAGGGATTTAAGAAACATATAGACATGGCTCTTCAGGGCATGCTCTAGTGCCCAAGGTTATTGGTTTATGGTGAGGTGTTGAGTGTGGGGTTTAGTTGGTGGGTGCGGTGTTTTTGGTGGGCGTTTGGTGTGGTGTGGTTTTTTTGGGTGGTTTTTTTGTTTTTGGGTTTTTTTGTGTGTGTGTGGTTGGACTCGATGATCTCAGAGGTCCCTTCCAACCACTAAGATTCTGTGATTCTGTGACAACTGATGGAGACAGTGGGAAGAGGTACTTCTGGGGTTCGCCTGAGGCTGTGTGGGGCATTTGCAGCTCAGGACCCCACTTTTTTGCCACACCTTCAGGACAGCTGAACTCTTCAGCAAAGCTGTTTAGCCCCATTTTGGCATTTCCCAGGCAGCCATGGAGAAGTTTCGTTTGCAGTTGGTTTTCCCTCGCTCCTCCCTGCTCTCACTCGAAGGAGAAGCCATCCTTATTCTTCCCAGCAAAAGGAAAATGGTTTCACCCGTGTGTTTTGCCCTGCTGAGGGAAAGCTGCTTCTTTCCTCTGCGGGGAGGTCTGGCAGCTTGGCTTTGCCAGGGAGGGACCGTGGAGAGGGAGGGGACAGGAGAAATCAGCCCGTTTCGAGCCAGTGCCCGTCCGGTTGCTCTGAGCACACTGGGGTGGCATCTGCCAGGATGAATGAAGGTCCCTGGGCCACTTGGGGACGTCACCACACGTTCTGCCCTGCCCTGCCTGCCAGGCCCAGGGGCGCTCGCTGGGATCACGTCCATGAAGGAGACTGAGAACGTCTTTACTGAAACCCAGGCAGCAAAATCTGCCAAACAACACAACGTGCTGCTGTCGGGAGGAGACAGGGACCCAGGACTGTCAGGTTGGATTTTGTCCTGCAAATCCCAGTCCTCTCTTCTAAAGTACTCGCAGCCCCAAAGCGCATCGTGCGTAGGTGTCAGGACAGGACACTGGTTGGCGAAACAGATCCAGTTAAGGAGAAACTTTGGAGAGGGGAAGACGGAGTCATCTGTGTCTACGTTTGCCTCACAGTAGACAGATCCAGTCAGACACATCATTTTCAGCATAAGATTTGCCTGTCTGGGTTTTCTTTTCCTTTCTATCCATCTTTCCTCTCTTAAAATTTCAAGTCTGCATTTTTTTTGAAGACTGACATTTTTCCCTCAAGCTGGTTTTGCCTTGCCTTTGTTTCCAGGGGCATCTGAATCGTGACGAGATTTTTCTGCCCAGCCTTTAGCCGCGCGAGCTGCGTGTGGGGGCTAAAAATGGAAAAAAAACGGAGAGTTTTAAAAAGAAAGGAAAACCAGGCTCTTACCGAAGCTCCCTGGCTGCGGCTCAGGCAGAAATAAACAACATGGATTGGAGTGAGGGACTCGAAAAGCAGTGAAAAGCACTCGTGAGCTGGCGTTATCCATAGGAAAGGAATCTCGCTGCCCTCCTTTCCTCTCCCAGCTCTCGGCTGCCATCTGGGAGTCACACACTGTCACTGTGCCAGTGCTGTTCCCCGCTGCCCTCCATGCCACCGGGTACCAAACCCCATTTACTGGGGACCCAGAGGCCAGCAAGTGTCTCCTGTAAGTGTCCAGGTGTCCCCTTGCTTTCTGTCCCTGTACTCCTTCCCCTCCGTGTCCTGGCTGGGGCTGGAGTGGAGGTGCCTCCTCAACCTGCCCAGGAGTGAAGCACGGCTGGTGACAGCACCCTGTGTCACCCCACGGTGGCTGGGACGCAGTGGTGAGGGCTGAGCCTGCCTTGCAGTGGCCGATGGAGGCTTCACAAACCTCTGGGTGCATTAATGCCTCTTCTGTCTCTCTCTGAAGCCGTCGTTAGCCTGGCGATGCCAAGAGCAGCCTGGCACCAGAGCAAAGCAACTACGGGGAGATTTCCCTCCCTGGAAAATTTGCATCTCGTAGTGACATCTTGCCACCAGCCCTGTGGGGGGGTAGAGGACTTTGCCCCTTTCCCTGGCAGTTTTTTTGGAGTTTTTCCTTGAAACAGCATCTCTGTTCCATGGGTGAAATGGGTCCCCCGGCCACGTGTGCCCTCCTCCGCCAAAGGTGTGTCGGGTTTGGTTTGCAACGATGTGCCAGTGCAAGGCAGCTGTGCCAGATGTGCTCCATACCCTTTTCCGTTATTAAACCTTTTTAAATACAGATGGAAGCAGAAGGAAAGGACCGTTGGTCCCTTCCTGGACTAAAGCAGATGCCCACCCCTGCCAGCCTGCCTGCCTGGGCACCCCCGGGATGCAGCTCTGGTGGCGTCGGACCTCTTGGGGGTTCACTGCAGGATGTTTCCCCAAGAAAAATTAAACTCTGCAAACAAACTACTGAGCAGGAAGCGAAGGGGGTCACCCTTGGCCTCTTGTGGACCAGCTCCTGGTGGCTTGGCCTTGCTGGTCCTCATCACAGCGGGAGGACAGGGGTGGGGGAGGAGGGCTGTTAGGGTTTGAGAAAATCCACAACTTACGGACAATTTATAGACAATTATTCTCTCACCCGATGACCCCTCCCCACCCAGGAAGGGGAATTAGGGAAAACAAGAAAACACGAGGGTTGAAATGCAAATAGATTTAATAGGATAAGACTAATTAACAATAATGCTAAAGAACCAATATTAATCCCAGTATTAATATAAGATAAACAAGGATTATCCCCAGCCCATTCCATCAGCAGAAGCCGTGTGCTCCCAGCAGGGACAGCCAGTGTGGGACCCTGCGAGCGCTGCGGCTTCGGGAGGAAGGGGAGGGCTCAGGGCTGTGGCACCGGGACAAGGAGTTCTCAGGGTGGCAGCCATCAAGGGAGAGAGAGAGAGAGAGAGAACTCAGAATCACAGAATGGTATGGGGTTGGAAGGGACCTCTGGAGATCATCTCCTCCAACCCCCTGCCAGAGCAGGTCCACCCAGAGCAGGTCCCACAGGAACGCGTCCAGGTGGGGTTTGAATGTCTCCAGAGAAGGAGACTCCACCACCTCCCTGGGCAGCCTCTTCCAGGGCTCTGCCACCTTCAAAGTGAAGAAATTCCTCCTCATGTTTAGGTGGGACTTCTTATATTCAAGATTGTGCCCATTTCCTCTTGTCCTGTCACTGGGCACCACTGAAAAAAGACCAGCCCCGTCCTCCTGACACCCACCCTTAAAGTATTTATAGGTGTTGATCAGTTCCCCCCTCAGCCTTCTCTTCTTCAGACTGAAAAGCCCCAAGTCCCTCAGCCTTTCCTCATCAGGGAGATGCTCCAGGCCCCTCATCATCTCTGTAGCCCTCTGCTGTCCCCTCTCCAGCAGTTCCCTGTCCTTCTGGAACTGAGGAGCCCAAAACTAGACTCCAACTCCTCAGCAAACTTCCTGGTTTATATCAAAAGTGACTTTCATGGTATGAAATAACCCTGTTGCCAGCTTGGGTCAAGTGTCCGGGTCTTGCTCCTCCTCCTCCCTGCACCCGGGGAGCTCAAAAACACAGAGACCTTGAATCCCACATCCCAGAGCGGGCTGTAAAGTGAGTATTTTCACGAATTCGGACACTAGAGTCTTCTAAAAGTGCAGTTCTCCCCAGCAGTAGAAGAGAAGTTAGTCCTATGTCTCTCAGCCCAGGACCTTGTCTGTGCACACTGTCTTCGCTTTCCCATCTCCTGCCCGGGTGGCTCCTGACGTGTTTCTCCCTCTTTCCACAGGCCCAGAGGAAGCAGTTGTGGGTCGCCCTCATTGAGAAGGCTCTGGCCAAGCTCCATGGTTCGTACTTTGCCCTCCAGGCGGGGCGTGCTATTGAAGGCCTGGCTACACTAACGGGTGCCCCCTGCGAGAGCCTGATGCTGCAGGTCAGCTCCACTAACCCTCGCGAGGAGCCCATTGACACTGACCTCATCTGGGCCAAAATGCTGAGTTCTAAGGAGGCTGGGTAAGACGAGGCAGGAGGGCGCCGTGGCAGGAGCAGGGACGTTCGGAGATGGGAGGGCGAGGGGTTGGGTCATTCTCGTTGGTAGAGGCTCAGAGGAGCAGGGCTGGTCTTGGGGTGGAGACCACCAACCCTCGGAGCGTTGGCAGAGCTCCTCCTCCAAGCTCTAAGAAATTATTTCTCCTTTGTTTAATTTTTGTATGAATTTGTGTGTTCACTGCTGCCTGGTGGGAGTTTTGGGGTGGCTGGCACTGAGCCCGCTTGCTTCGCTTCGAGGTTTTTGATGTATAGTTAAGTGCTTGACCCTGCACGTCTCTCCCACCCATACGTGGTACCCTGGGCACGACTATACGTGTCTCTATAGGAGACAAAGCGAAAAGCAAAGACCTCTTGGTCATCACCAGGAGGAGCAGGAGGGCAGTGAGGTTCCTGGGCTCTGCCCGGTGGAAATCAGAGTGATTTTTGGCTGGCTGAAGGCAGGGTTCCTCCTGCCAGCTGCAGAACAGAGCCACGTGGGGGGCTGAGAGGTCCCAACCCATGGTCTCCCCTCATGGTGCAGACCTCCTGCCCCACATAGCCTGTCCTCACCCCTGCAGGGTGGCTTGCCAGGTGGCTGAGTCCTGCCAGCCCCCAGAGATGGGCAGGACCCAAGAGCCTGGCAGAAAATGGGTGAGGTTTGGGCAAAGCTGGGCTGTGTGTGGGCAGAGCTTTCAGCCCTGCGGGTGAGGGCACTGCTGGGAGAAGCTCACCACGGAGCCTGGGCTCGACCGTGGATGTGAGCGGGTGGAAGGGGCTCACTGCTCCCCAGGTTTATGGTGTGGGAAGAGAGGGAATATTGAGGAGCCTCCAGGGGGATGGTCTGTCCCATGCCTCGAGCAGTTGGGACAAGCTTCCCCGCCGTGCCAGGCCTGGCAGGACACCGAGGCTTCTGCTGTCCCCCGTGCAGGTTCCTCATGGGCGCGTCCTGTGGCGGAGGCAACATGAAGGTGGACGATGTGGCCTACGAGAGCATGGGCCTGCGCCCGCGGCATGCCTACTCCATCCTGGACGTGCGGGACGTCCAAGGCTTCAGGTGAGTTTGAGGTGGAGGCTGGCGTGGCAGAGCAGACATTCTGCCAACCCTGGGGACAGACAATTGAGTGTGTGCTGGACAAAACCTCGGGGACTCTTTGGTGTCCCATCCTCAAGGCCAGCAAGGGCTGTTTCTCCATCCCAGGGTGTCACATCAACGCTGTTGTCATATAAGCCTGGCTCTGGCTTCACATCCAGGGCTGTGCTGCTCCAGGATGCATGGTGGTGCAGAACTGATTGTCTCACAAGCCTCAGAGGATTGAGTTGAGCTCTTTCAAGTCAATGAGAGCATCCTTCTCACCTTTGGAGAGTGAGGGGTAGAAAGGAGTGCCACCCCTGAAACTCTGGGTGCTGTATGAAGCCCCATTTTCATCCATGTCATTCTGGGGCACACGCTCAGCAGCCACTTCTCCACTGAGGTCCTTCCCTGAGGGCAGAGGGAGCTGCAGCAGGTCCAGAGCTGCAAGATGTGGACATCTGGGGCCATGGTGGGGGTGGCAAATTAGTTCTGGGATGCTGTGAGGACTTTAAAGGGCAGGGACAGAAGTGGCATGGTTCCCTCTACAGGGGGCTGGCCAGGTCTGCAGAGGTGGGAGAGCATCTCAAAGGTGGTCTTCCATGTACTCTTCTTCCTCCTGGGCCTCTGACACTTTTTTCCCCACCTCCCAGGTTACTGCGGCTCCGAAACCCCTGGGGCCGCTTCTCCTGGAACGGCAGCTGGTCCGACGAGTGGCCGCACTGGCCAGCGCCCTTGCGACACGACCTGATGCCCCACGGCAGCAGTGAGGGTGTCTTCTGGATGGAGTACAGCGATTTCATTAAGTACGGTGGTGCCCAGGAGGCTGTGGGGAGGGAAGCCAGGCAGGGGACAGAACAGGGGACATGGGGGTCATAGAATCACAGACTGGTTTGGGTTGGAAGGGACCTCAAATCCCACTCAGTGCCACCCCCTGCCCTGGGCAGGGACACCTCCCACCACACCACGTTGCTCCAAGCCCCCTCCAACCTGCCCTTGAACCCCTCCAGGGATGGGGCAGCCACAGCTTCTCGGGCCAACCTGGGCCAGGCTCTCACCACCCTCACACCAAACAAGTTCTTCCCCACAGCTCAGCTCCATCTCCCCTCTTGCAGGGTCCAACCCTTCCCCCTCCTCCTAGGGCTCCCCTCCCTCATCCAGAGTCCCTCCCCAGCTTTCCTGGAGCCCCCCTTCTTTAGGGACTGGAAGGGGCTCTGAGGTTTCCCCAGAGCCTTCTCTTCTCCAGGCTGAACCCCCCCAACTCTCTCAGCCCATCGTCCCAGCAGAGGGGCTCCAGCCCTCCCAGCATCTCCGGGGCCCCATTTTCCTGGCTCTTTCCAGTTACCACAGCACGTGTGATGGTGGGGTTAGAACTAGGTGATCTTTAAGTAACCAGGTTACTCAAAGCCCCATCCAGCCTGGCCTCAAAACAAGGCCGGACATCCCCAGGGGGTGCAGGTGGCCTGTGGGTCTCTGCGGCTCACAGCGAACTGGGGCCAGGGGGCAGAGCAGTGCACCCACCAGGGACCCCACCAGGGCTGAGCCCAGTTTCCCCGCAGGTATTCAAGGCCGGACATCCCCAGGGGGTGCAGGTGGCCTGTGGGTCTCTGCGGCTCACAGCGAACTGGGGCCAGGGGGCAGAGCAGTGCACCCACCAGGGACCCCACCAGGGCTGAGCCCAGTTTCCCCGCAGGTATTTTGACTCCGTGGACATCTGCAAGCTCCATTCGGACTGGCACGAGGTGCGTGTGCAGGGCATGTTCCCCAACAAGGCCAACGGGCCGGTGACGGTGACATCGCTGACGGTGTTGGAGCGTGCTGCCCTGGAGTTTGCCCTCTTCCAGGAGGGCAGCAGGTGAGCTGGGCAGTGGAGGGGCTGCAGGTGGTGACCCTGACCCAGGAGAAATCCCCAAAACATCTCCCTCTCACCCCATGCCATCCCATGGGGTGACAGAGCTTAGGGATGGGCCACCAGCGTGGTTCACAGAATCACAGAATCTTAGTGGTTGGAAGGGACATCTGAGATCATCGAGTCCAACCACAAAAAAAAAAAAAAAAAAAAAAAAAACCCAAAAAAAAAACACCACACCAAACGCCCACCAAAAACACCGCACCCACCAACTAAACCCCACACTCAACACCTCGCCATAAACCAATAACCTTGGGCACTAGAGCAGGCCCTGAAGAGCCATGTCTATACGTTTCTTAAATCCCTCCAGGGATGGTGACTCCACCACCTCCCTGGGCAGGCTGTTCCAGGGCCTGACAACCCTCTCAGTAAAGTAGTTCTTTCTAATCTCTAATCTAAATCTCCCCTGCCCCAACTTCAGACCATTTCCTCTGGTCTTGTCATTCGTCCTTTGGGAGAAGAGGCCAACACCTGCCTCTCTACACCCTCCTTTCAGGGAGTTGTAGAGGGCAATGAGGTCTCCCCTCAGCCTCCTCTTCTCCAAACTAAACATGCCCAGTTCCCTCAGCCTCTCCTTGTAGGACTTGTTCTCCAGACCCCTCTGCTGATGTTTTAGCCAAACCCAAGCTTGGTTCCTGGGGCTGGTGGCTTGGAGGACTTCTAGGTCCACCATCCTGCCCGTGGTCTCCATGCGCTCTCTGGGGTGACGCTCAGGTGACGTGTGACCCTCCTTCCCCCTCCCAACAGGCGGTCGGACACGGTGGACAGCCACTTGCTGGATCTGTGCATCATGGTTTTCCGGGCCACCTTCACCAGCGGGAACAAGCTGAGCCTGGGCCGGCTGATGGCTCACAGCAAACGAGCCGTCAAGAAGTTCGTCAACTGCGACGTGATGCTGGAGCCGGGGGAGTACGCCGTGGTGTGCTGTGCCTTCAACCACTGGAGTGCTGCCCTGGCAGGCCCCACCACCACCCAGGGTAAGGGACACTCCCGGGGGAGACCTTGGGGGTGGCAGAGGTGACAAAGCCCTTGATCTTCGCCGTGGGGACCCAGCAGGGGCTGTGGGCTTGGTGACAGTCTCGCTGATCCCCCCGGCTTCCTCCCTGTGTGTCTCCACAGCATCCAGTCCCACCAGCAGCCGACCGGCCACCGATTACTCCAGCTATATCCTGGCCATCTACAGCTCCCGTCTGGTGATGGTGGAGCAGGTGGAGGCCCAGCCCACCACGTTGGCAGATGCCATCATCCTGCTGACCGAGAACAAGGGCGAGCGCCACGAGGTGGGTGCGGGCAGGGGCTGGAGGGGGGTGATGCTGCCAGTGGGAACCTGGATCCTGCCTCTGCTGCATCCTCAGTCCAGCAGGACCGTGCCACCGCTGGCTGTCATCTAGTCCCATGGATGCCACGCTCCCTGGGGCAGCATGGGGTTCCCCAGCAGATGGGCTGGAGGTGGAAGATGCTGGTCCAGGGGCTGAGATTTGGGGTGGGGGCGGAGGTTGCCTGGAGGCTTCACCCCACCCTTGACCGTTCCGTTTGCCCCAGGGCCGCGAGGGAATGACCTGCTACTACTTGACGCATGGCTGGGCAGGACTCATTGTGGTGGTGGAGAACCGTCACCCCAAGTCCTACCTGCACGTCCAGTGTGACTGCACCGACAGCTTCAACGTCGTCTCCACGCGTGGCAGCCTCAAAACACAGGACAGCGTTCCCCCCCTGCACAGGTCCGGGGTAGGCAGGGGTGGGCAGGGGGCTTGGCGCAAGGCAGAGGTGGCAGGGAGGGATGGGCAGAGGGTGGGATGCTCCACCAAGGACTATGATGGGTGGGAGATTCCACCAAGGACCATGTTCTTGCTGGGAGGGGATGCTGTGAGTGCCAGGGCTACTTCTGCTCCGGAGGGTCAGCGATGGTGCGAGCAGACCCCACCACAGAGACACCGTAGCTCTGCACACAGGGCTTTCTCCCAGGAACCAAGTTCCTTGCAGAAAGGGCTTTGAGGAACCATCTCACATGGCCAGCAGGACCAGGGCAGCGACCATCCCCCTGTACTGGGTGCTGGTGAGGTCCCACCTTGAGTGCTGTGGCCAGTTTTGGGCCCCTCACAACAATAAAGGGGCTGGAGCGTGTCCAAAGAAGGGCAACAGAGGTGGTGAGGGGCCTGGAGAACAAGAAGGGTCTGGGGAACTTCTGAGGAGCAGTTGAGGAAGCTGGGGTTGTTCAATCTGGAGAAAAAGAGGCTGAGGGGAGACCATCTTGATCTCTACAACTCCCTGAAAGGAGGGTGTAGCCAGGGGGGGTCGGTCTCTTCTCCCAAGGAACAGGTGATGGCTGAGGAAGCTGAGGTTGTTCAATCTGGAGAAAAGGAGGCTGAGGGGAGACCTTCTTGTTCTCTACAACTCCCTGAAAGGAGGGTGCAGCCAGGGGGGGTGGGTCTCTTCTCCCAAGGAACAGGTGATGGGACAAGAGGAAACAACCTCAAGGGGAGGTTAAGATGGGATAGGAGGAGAAATTTCTTCACAGAAAGGGTTGCCAAGTGTTGGACGGGGCTGCCCAGGGACATCGTGGGGTCACCATCCCTGGAGGTATTCAACAGATGGGTCAACGTGGTACTGAGGGACGCGGGTTAGTGGTGGGTTTGTCAGCGTTGGGTTGACGGTTGGCCTTGATGGTCTTCAAGGTCTTTTCCAACCTAACCTACTCCATGGTTCCCTGCGTCGCCCGGCCCTGAGCCCTTCGCTCTCTTCGCAGGCAGGTGCTGGTGATCCTCTCCCAGCTGGAGGGTAACGCCGGCTTCTCCATCACCCACCGCCTGGCCCACCGCAAAGCCACCCAGGCCTTCCTCAACGACTGGATGGCCACCAAGGGCACCCACAACCCGCTGCTCACCCCCGAGGTCGCCGGCCTCCACGGCCCCCGGCCCCTATGACGAAGCGCCTCCCCCCTCCCCGCTCCGCTCCCCCCTTATTTTCTCCCGGGGCCGCCCCCCCAAGCTGTCAGCGCCGAGCCGTGGGGCAGAGCCGTGGGGCAGAGCCGTGGGGCAGAGCGGGAGCGTCACACCCAGCACTTTGCCCTGCGCCGTGGGGCCGGGGCGAGCTCTCAGGGCTAGGACCAGCTCTTGCCCGCCGCCCCGGCCCCCCCAAACCCCCCCACGCACTTTATGAGGAGCGGCTGGGGGGGGCACGGGGCCATCTCAGGATCCCACCTGCCCCAATCCCGCCCTGGGACCCCCCGGGGGGGCTGCGGGAGAAGATGGGGGGGCTGCAGTTTGCTGTCAAGGCCCTTCCCAGGCACCACGCTCAGGACTCTCCCCCCCACCCC